AGAGACTATAGTGTACATGTATATGTATAATGTGCATGGCGCATTGTGCACTGTACGTGCGCATGTACTTTGTATATAGACCTTGTCATAAACTATATATACACAAGTTACTATTACATGTATTAATATTCTTTGTTTTTTAAAACTCATGTATCTAAAATCAAAACCGCCTGAATCATCAAAATATTGTAATTTTTTACATGGACAGTCTTCATCGGTAGTTTATTTATCATAAATGTACGATAATTTCACGTGCAATGTCAGTAATAGTAGTATAACGTACTCACGGCACTAAAACTTGATATGAACATGTTGTCATGACTCTTGTAATTATTATGAGTTGAAATGGTAAATAATATCCCAATATGTATAATGTACATGTGACACGTGTCAATATTTACAACATGACTTGCTTACCATTATATAATTACTTTTCTTTTTACTGTACATAATGTAAATATATACACGGTACATTGTATGTGACACGATGAAAATGTGGATATCACCAGTTTTATGTTAAACCTGTTATACTATGAGCATAAGATTGATTTTCGTTTTATTTTACATGAAATTCTAGTTTGTTTTTTTTATATATAGGCCAACTTGTACTTTAAAACGTCGTTTTTGGATTATAAGCTAGATCTATTCCATTCGGTAAAGCCACATAAATGAAACTAATTGACCTTGACATTTTGTCGTTGTCACTTAAATGTTTACATCAAATAAGATTTCTGAATTGTGAATACAAGCATCTAGTTGAGCATGATTAAAAAGTAAGGCGAATGAAAGCGTGCGGTGTACGAGTGACTGAAGTGGAGTGTTCGTAAGATTTGTTGTTTTTTCTGTTATACTCAATGTGTTCTATGTGTTGTATGTCCTATATGTACAAGAAAAACCGATATACCAGAATTCTTCAATGTCTTTTGATTTTAATCACTTGTGTCCAGTTTACTTTCGATTTCGTCATGCTAGGAATACACATGTTTTTGATCCCGGTTAATATCTTCTACACCGAGTGGACACAAGTGAAAATTACAAGACATCATCTTTTCTATTTTCAGTCGAAATTGTTGATATATGTTACAACTTGTCGTGATTTTTTCTATGATAATTCTTATAGCTGGCTACTTTTTATTTTACTGCTATTAAGTAATGATATAGAGTCTAATCCGGGACCTCTGTGTAACCTAGATATTACTCATCTGAATGTTAGATCCTTACGTAATAAAATTGATATAATTGATTCGGAATTATCACACAGCACTATCTTGTGTCTTACTGAAACACATCTCTCACCTAATATACCTGATGATGATATAGTTTTATCCTCATATTCTAAAGATTTTCATAGGCGTGACCGTAGGACTGGTCCTGGGGGAGGTGTCATTATTTATTGCAAAACTTCTGTTCTTTCCAAAAGACGTATAGACTTAGAAAATAATGATATAGAAATCATTTGGATAGAAATTAAAATTGACTGTCACACTTTCTTGCTTGGCTGCTTATACAGACCTGAATCAAATATTGCTTATTGGTCCAAACTTGACAATATGTTTGAAACTGTTATTGAAACTAACATGAACATAATAATTACCGGTGACATTAATGTAAATATGTTGAATATTGAACAAAATCCTCACCTTAATCATTTACTATTGAAACATAACCTTACTAGTTTGGTAACTGAACCTACAAGAATAACACCAACTACTTCCACTTTACTGGATGTTGTTCTAACAAATAATACTAACATTATCCAAAACACTTCTGTTTATCCTCCAATTTGTAGTGACCACTCAGTCATATCTTTTGATGTTCTTTATTCAACATTTAAGTGTAAATCTTATATCAGTGAAATATAAATTTTTCAAGAAGCTGATGTTGAGAGTATGAATACTGAATTGGCATCAATTGATTGGAATACAGTATCTAGTACTTTATCTGTGGAAGAGCTGAACCATTATCTTACTGATTGTATAAAGGATTTGATTTGTCGTTTTGTTCCGGTTAAAAAGATTACTGTCCGTCCCAATATATATATACATTTCATAAATCTTAAACACTTTCAACCAATATATATTATAGATAAACCCTGGATGAATAGAGATTAAATTGAAAATGAGACAGCGTAACCGTATTCATAAAAAAGCTCGATCTAGTTCATCTCAACATTACACAACACGTGGGAAACTTATAGATTAAAAAGAAATGAAGTAATTGACTTAATTAGAAAAGCAAAGAAAACTTATTATGAAAATCTAGAGAAAAGTTTAAGCGATAAAACCCTTCCCCCAAGTAAGTGGTGGAAGATTGCCAATTCAGTATTCAAAACTAATAATAAATCAGTTTCTCTACCACCTTTAAATGATAATGGTTCATATATTAGTCATCCTTTTGCAAAAGCTGAATGTTTGAATACCTATTTTACTTCTATCTCTACCTCCTCTGTAGATCTTGAGCCTCTACCTCCAGTTTTATCTTACACTCATCTCGTCCTTGACAATATTGTTATTTCTGAACAAGATGTAAAAGATCAACTTTTTGCCCTTAGCGATAAGAAACCACCAGGTCCAGATAATCTTTCTCCTAAAATCATTAAAATGCTTGCTCCTTCTATTTATCTTCCTCTTACTATACTATGTAACAAAACTCTTGAGACTGGTACTATCCCCTCTCTTTGGAAATCTGCTAATGTTAGTGCTATCTACAAAGGAAAAGGTACTGAAAATAATGTTTCTAACTATAGACCTATCTCTGTAACCTCATGTTTTAGTAAAATTATAGAAAAAATTATTTTTAAGTATCTGTTTAATCATCTTTATGAATCAGAAATTATATCAAAACACCAATCTGGTTTTATGCCTAATGACTCAACTGTTAATCAACTGCTTTCCATATATCACACAATAATAAGTAACTTGGATAATAACAAAGAATTAAGATTTATTTTTTGTGATATAAGTAAGGCATTTGATAGGGTCTGGCATGAGGGTCTGTTACATAAAATTGAATCATATGGAATAAAAGGAAATGTCCTGAAAAAAAATTATCTTTCTAATAGAAAACAAAGGGTGGTAATTGATGGTTTTGCTTCTACTTTTAAATATGTCCATGCAGGGGTTCCTCAGGGATCAGTCCTAGGGCCTTTTCTTTTTCTTCTATACATAAATGATATAACTAATTGTGTAACAAGCTGTATAAAATTATTTGCTGATGATACATCACTTTTTAGAATAATTAATACTAACCCCATAGAAGAAGCTGAAGTACTGAGTAATGATCTTAATCATATCAATAACTGGTCTAAACAATGGGATATAAACTTTAATCCAGCTAAAACAGAATCCGTAATATTTTCTAGAAAATCAGAACCAGATCATCCAGACATCTTTTTTAACAATGAGCTTGTCTTAACATCAACTTCTCATAAACATCTTGGTCTCTTCTTTAGTAGTGATGGCAAGTGGAATAAACATATTGATTACATATACAAGAAGGCAAACCAAAAAATGAATATTTTAAGACTCTTAAAAAATAAAATTGACAGAAAATCTCTTTCCATACTTTATATATCCCATATTAGACCAATTCTTGAATATGCTGATACCGTGTGGGACAACTGTCCAGAATATGCCAAGAACCTATTAGAATCAATTAATCTTGAGGCAGCAAGGATTATAACTGGGTTACGCAGAGGTACATCCAGTGAAAAACTGTATTCAGAACTGGGCTGGGTTTCTTTAGGTGACAGAAGGAAAAAACATAAAATGACTTTAATGTACAAGATTTTAAACAAAGAATCACCAGATTATTTATATGATATCATACAACCATATTTAAACAATCCTAATGAATCAAGATACCAACTTAGAAATAATAGAATTTTTTATGAACCATATTGTCGCACTGTTAGTTATTGCAATAGTTTTTTCCCAGATATGATCTGTGAATTCAATAAAATCGGTGACTCCTTGATTGACATTCACTCCATTGGCCAGTTTAAGAAATTACTTGATAGAAATATATATGTAAATAATAATGCTAAAGTTAGTGTTGTTTTTAAAGAATATGGACAAAGAAAATACAATATTATCCTCTGTCAGCTAAGGAACTCAGCTAGCTCTCTCAACTTTGATTTACATAATAATCACTTGATAGAATACCCCTCATGTGCTTGTGGTGCACCACTTGAAACTGTACAACATTATTTCTTTGAATGTCCAAGATATGTAACTTACCGTCAAGATTTGTATCATTCTCTATATCAACATGATCATCCTCATTATGAATTAGATTTTATTCTTAACCGCTGCCAAGATTGTGATATTAATGTTAATAAATTAATATTAGCCTCTGTAATTAGCTATATTATTGGCACAAAAAGATTTTGCAAATTATAAAAGGTTTTAAAATTATAAATTATGAATATGAATTTGTATACTTGGTTAGATATTGAAGAATTCTGATATTCTAGTTATCATTTATTCCTAAAATAGGGATATAACTCTCTAATGTTAAAGTAATTGACCACCTGTGTTGTCCCAGGAGAAGACTTATATAGGCACTAGCCTGCTGTCTAATCCTATTAATACTTTGTATTAATAAAATGTTTTGAAATGGAAAAAATGAAAGAGCATTTCTTGAAAAACCACGAAAGTTAAGCCCTCATTTTAGAGTGGTAGGTCTCGTCTAAGATTCCAGAGAACCTAAGGCTATCAACCAATAATCAAAGTTATGCAGAGATTTGTAGTGTATCACATATCTCCAGCCATTGTTTGCGGCAAACCTCAAGAACAAAAGCCCACCAGTATATTTGAGTGCAACTTCAAAGAATGCACAAAAAGACATGACTGAAATGTAGTACTAATCCAGCTAGTAGACAAGCTTATGTCAAATAAGAAATTCAGTTGTATAATACAGATGTTTTGTATGTCATTTTAGGTCTATTCAATCTACTTATTTTTCAGGTATTGAAATGGTACGCTGGAAATATTGAAAATATGGATAAAAAAAAGAAACCTCGATACTGCAAGAAAAATAAGAAGATAAAATCAAATGATGGAGACAAAATGGGAAAAAAAGGAATTTTCAAAAAACAATTACACATAACAAGCAATGAACAATACAACAAAGAAGTGAAAAGTTATAAAGAAGAGGCAGAGGAGAATAAGTCGCGTGTAAATATCGGTATTCTCATCTACGCAGCTCAACATGATAAACAGGAAGACCTGAAATATTTCCATCAGAAAAGAAACCTGCGATGGTGTCTACA